GTTTATTATTTTATTTACTTTTATGTATTATTTTTTGTATTTTTTTTGTGGGCTTGTAAATTCTTTGTTGCATCATCAATAAACATAAACATAAATTTGGACACTCTGTACATACAGACACAAACGCACGATTAAAAAATGAATAAAATCCATTGAGGATTTTTCGACTTATTTAGAAAAGTTTAAAAAAAAATATTATTTTTAAAGCCCTCTAGCGGCTAAACTAAGCAATTTTGTATATAGATAAGTTGAGTTAAATCATCATCTTTTTAGTCAAGGTACTTGTGGTTTTGCGTTGTACACGGCATTTCCGGACACCCTGTATAACAACGTTGTTTTTTTCTTTGGATTTTTATACTTATGTTTATATTCACTTTTGTAAACTTGTACGTAGTTATAGATTTGGCTGATGATGATCGATGTTATTTGATCGAAACCGATACCAAGTACTACATTTATTATAAAATAAACAGAGGCTTTAAGAGTTTCAGTTTAATTTCCCAAACATTTTATTGAAATGGTATCAATAAAAGTATGATCTAATTAAGACCGCAAACAACCTTGGCTTCATGAAACGCAATTATCCATTTTCACTCAAATTAAGCCGAGGCAGTACAATTGATACAATATTTGTACTGCCTTGGCCGCAAGCAACCTCGGCTTAATTAAGTCATACAGTTTTTATCGAAATGGTATCAATAAAACTTAATTAACTTGTATGGAAAGTAGATGATTGCACCTCATTAAGCCGAGGTTCCTCATGCCTGAGGCAGCATGAAATGATATAAAAAAAACTCGGCTTAATAAAACATTTTCCCTCTATTTTTTTGCTTATTTCTTAAATAACCTTTTTGTTTTAGATGGAAATATTCGGGATAGAATTCGCCCCATTAAACATACCATTAAAGCGTCGTCTTCAAACGGTAGCTGCAGCTTCATGGTTCGTAATAATGATAGGTGGAGGTTTAGCAGGACTCCTTTTATCAATCTACCTCATCATTTTCTCCTCCTTGCGGTGGCTCGTAATTTTATATTTAATCTGGATTTGGGGTCCAGACAGCAAAATTAGCGAACGCGGCGGAAGACGTTCGGAATGGATAAGAGATTGGACTTGGTGGAAATACTTAAAACATTATTTCCCTTTAAGTTTAGAAAGAGTACCATGGGTTAGCTTGGATCCCCATAAAAATTACCTATTTTGTTGTTTCCCCCATGGAATGTTATCGACGGGTCCGTTTTCGGCTTTTGGAACGAAAACCGGAGGTTTTCACGATTTATTCCCTTATCACACCCCGTATGTGATGACTTTAAAACAACATTACGTTATGCCGTTCTTTAGGGAGTTGGCGTTGGGGTTGGGGGGATTGGACGCTTCGAAAGATTCGATTAATTACGTTTTAAGTAAACCGGAAGGTGGAAACGTTTGCGCTTTAATGGTTGGGGGAGCTGCAGAAGCTTTTAATTGCCGGCCGGGGGAGTACAGATTAATTTTAAAAAATCGAAAAGGATTCGTTCGATTAGCGCTAAAAAACGGGGCTCCTTTAGTACCCGTTATTTCTTTTGGAGAAACCGATTTATACAATCAAGTTAATAACCCGGAAGGATCGAAAATTAGGAATATACAAGAAGCGTTAAAGAAATACATCGGATGGGCGCCGGCCATTCCAATTGGAAGAGGATTTTTCCAATATAATTATGGAATCATTCCAAAGAGAAAACCAGTTACAACTTTAGGTAAAAAATGTTTTAAAAAAATTGATTTTAATGTTTAATTTGGTTTCTTTTTTAAGTTGGAAGACCGATTGATGTTAAAAAAGTGGAAGATCCAACTCGAGAGCAAATAGATGATCTCCACGCTGTTTTTATAAAGGAACTCGTCACGCTCTTTGAACAGGAAAAACATCGTTATATAAAAAATCACGAAAACATTCACTTAGAAATTGAGTAAATATAATTAAAAATACATATATATAATTAACCAGCAATTAAATGTGATAAATATTTTAAAAGGCGGCAAACGTGTTTCATTATTAAACTTTTTTAAGTGTTATCTTTTGATTAATTACCTCCAATGTGAGCTTTATTTAGTTTAAGAAAGAGTTTATAAGAAATAAATGTGTTCTGATTTTTTACCTTTATTTTTGGAACATTACTTGTTAACCTCAATTAAACCAATACGACCTTGAACACTGTTTTCATTTATTCTGTAAAGATTAAACATTTAAAGTGGTCAAGTTCATCAACTAGAAAATAAAAAAAGCCGTTTTGTCCATAATGGTATATAAACGCTTCTCTTAACGAGACAATTCCAGTTTAAATAAAAACAGTGTTAAAGATGAAACAAATAAGATCGTTTATTTTAGTTTGTTTCTTATTTGCCGAGTCAATTTGGGGGGCAAATTTACGTAAGTTTTTCGATTTTCATCAATTAATTATCGATAAATAATTTTTTTAGCTAGCTATATCACAAAATGTAGCCTTTCCGATGAATCGTTTTCAAAATGTGCAATTTCTAGTGCAAATAAAGCGATTTCTAGAATAGTAAAAGGTTCATTTAAACATTAATTGATTAAAAAATGTTATTAAAAATCATTTTTTAGGTGATAAAAAGTATAAAATTCAAAATTTAGATCCGATTATTATTCCGGAAGTAAAATTTGAGGTAAATTCAAATTCTAGGTTGATATTAAATAACGTTACCACAAGTGATTTGAAAAATATTAAAGTAACCGAGTTTAGGTGAGTTTAATTTTAAAATTATTAATTTAATCGAAAGATAAAAGGAAAAACTTTAACCTACCTTCATTACAACAGCAATTGAAGATTCTTTAGTGTTTGTAACCCATCAATTCAAACATTTTGGCAGTTCACAATAATGACATAACCTCAAATGTCAAAAAATAAATCTGAAAATAAATCAGATAAATAAAGTTTTAAGCAAAAATTTTTATTTACCTTCATTAAAGCATCCAAAAAGGATTATTTGTTGATTGTAATGTAATAATAACACATCAAAGTTATTCATTTTAAGAAAATCATCAATTCAAACGTGAAGAAGCCGCTTATAATTCACAATGACATAACCTCAAATGTCAAAAAATAAATCTGGAAGTAAATCACGTAAATTAAAATGAAATAAAATTGGATTCATTAATTAATCGTTTAATTAGCTTAATGAAACGAATTAAAACTAGTAATTAATAAAAATTACTTTTAAATATTCCTTAAATTGTGTTAATTAAACAAAATTTTTTTAATGTTTTTATTTTTTTGAAGTTGGTGGAATTGAAATTCGCCCATCTTGGTCGTTGCTACGCAACACTCTCCAATTTAATTATGACATTCCAAAATAAGTTAAACTTTATATTAAAAACATTAAAAATTATGCTTTAAAAAGCCAAAATCAACTTTTAAAGTATTAACTGACTTAAACGTTAAAGTTGAATTAACGTTAATGTAGTTTAAAATGAAATTGTTTTTTAAACTTTAAATATAAACAAGATTTTTAAGCAAAAACTTTTATTTACCTTCATTAAAGCTTCCAAAAAGGATTATTTGCTGGTTGAAATGTAGTAATAACCCATATAAAGTTATTCATTTTAAGAAAATCATCAATTCAAACGTGAAGAAGCCGCAATGACATAACCTCAAATGTCAAAAAATAAATCTGGAAGTAAATCACATAAATTAAAATGAAATAAAATTGGATTCATTAATTAATCGCTTAATTGGGTTAATAAAACGAATTAAAACTAGTAATTAATAGAAATTACTTTCAAATATTCCTTAAATTGTGTTAATTAAACAAATATCTTTTTAATGTTTTTATTTTTTTGAAGTTGGTGGAATTGAAATTCGCCCATCTTGGTCGTTGCTATGCAACACTCTCCAAGTTAATTATGACGTTCCAAAATAATTTAAACTTTATATTAAAAACATTAAAAATTAAGCTTTAAAAAGCCATAATCGACTTTTAAAGTTGTAACTGACTTAAACGTTAAAGGTAAATTAACGTTAAATGTAGTTTAAAATGAAATTGTTTTTTAAACTTTAAATATAAACAAGATGTTTAAGCAAAAACTTTTATTTACCGTCATTAAAGCTTCCAAAAAGGATTATTTGCTGATTGAAATGTAGTAATAACCCATATAAAGTTATTCATTTTAAGAAAATCATCAATTCAAACGTGAAGAAGCCGCTTACAATTCACAATGACATAACCTCAAATGTCAAAAAATAAATCTGGAAGTAAATCACATAAATTAAAATGAAATAAAATTGGATTCATTAATTAATCGCTTAATTGGGTTAATAAAACGAATTAAAACTAGTAATTAATAGAAATTACTTTTAAATATTCCTTAAATTGTGTTAATTAAACAAAATTTTTTTAATGTTTTTATTTTTTTGAAGTTGGTGGAATTGAAATTCGCCCATCTTGGTCGTTGCTATGCAACACTCTCCAAGTTAATTATGACGTTCCAAAATAATTTAAACTTTATATTAAAAACATTAAAAATTATGCTTTAAAAAGTCATAATCGACTTTTAAAGTATGAACTGACTTAAACGTTAAAGTTGAATTAACGTTAAATGTAGTTTAAAACGAAATTGTTTTTTAATTTTTAAATATAAACAAGATTTTTAAGCAAAAAGTTTTATTTACCTTCATTAAAGCATCCAAAAAGGATTATTTGCTGATTGAAATGTAGTAATAACCAATATAAAGTTATTCATTTTAAGAAAATCATCAATTCAAAAGTGAAGAAGCCGCTTACAATTCACAATGACATAACCTCAAATGTCAAAAAATAAATCTGGAAGTAAATCACATAAATTAAAATGAAATAAAATTGGATTCATCAATTAATCGTTTAATTAGCTTAATGAAACGAATTAAAACTAGTAATTAATAAAAATTACTTTTAAATATTCCTTAAATTGTGTTAATTAAACAAAATCTTTTTAATGTTTTTATTTTTTTGAAGTTGGTGGAATTGAAATTCGCCCATCTTGGTCATTGCTATGCAACACTCTCCAAATTAATTATGACGTTCCAAAATAATTTAAACTTTATATTAAAAACATTAAAAATTATGCTTTAAAAAGCCATAATCGACTTTTCAAGTTTTAACTGACTTAAACGTTAAAGTTAGATTAACGTTAAATGTAGTTTAAAACGAAATTGCTTTTTAAACTTTAAATATAAACAAGATTTTTAAGCAAAAACTTTTATTTACCTGCATTAAAGCTTCCAAAAAGGATTATTTGCTGATTGAAATGTAGTAATAACCCATATAAAGTTATTCATTTTAAGAAAATCATCAATTCAAACGTGATGAAGCCGCTTACAATTCACAATGACATAACCTCAAATGTCAAAAAATAAATCTGGAAGTAAATCACATAAATTAAAATGAAATAAAATTGGATTCATTAATTAATCGTTTAATTAGCTTAATGAAACGAATTAAAACTAGTAATTAATAAAAATTACTTTTAAATATTCCTTAAATTGTGTTAATTAAACAAAATTTTTTTAATGTTTTTATTTTTTTGAAGTTGGTGGAATTGAAATTCGCCCATCTTGGTCGTTGCTACGCAACACTCTCCAAGTTAATTATGACGTTCCAAAATAAGTTAAACTTTATATTAAAAACATTAAAAATTATGCTTTAAAAAGTCATAATCGACTTTTAAAGTATGAACTGACTTAAACGTTAAAATTAAATTAACGTTAAATGTAGTTTAAAACGAAATTGCTTTTTAAACTTTAAATATAAACAAGATTTTTAAGCAAAAACTTTTATTTACCTGCATTAAAGCTTCCAAAAAGGATTATTTGCTGATTGAAATGTAGTAATAACCCATATAAAGTTATTCATTTTAAGAAAATCATCAATTCAAACCTGAAGGAGCCGCTTACAATTCACAATGACATAACCTCAAATGACAAAAAATAAATCTGGAAGTAAATCACATAAATTAAAATGAAATAAAATTGGATTAATTAATTAATCGCTTAATTGGGTTAATAAAACGAATTAAAACTAGTAATTAATAGTAATTACTTTCAAATATTCCATAAATTGTGTTAATTAAACAAATATTTTTTAATGATTTTATTTTTATGAAGTTGGTGGAATTGAAATTCGCCCATCTTGGTTGTTACAATGACAACAATACAACCTAACCTTAATTCAGCTGGAAAAAAAAAACCTTAATT